GTGTGTGTGTGTGTAAGAGGGGTGGGTGAGGGGGGAGAGACCGGGCAGCGCTTGGCTGTTTCCAGAGCGGAATCGCGCACACAAACCATCGTCTCATGTCTCCGTGCCTGATCCCGGTCTGCAAGCGCCGCTCATCCTCTTGTCAAAACGTGCCTCTGCCGGCGGACCAATCGGCGACGACTCTGCGTGGACAGGAAATGACGCGCGGGCTTCCTGCCTCTGTAAAGTCTACCGTGTCACCACAAATATTATCCACACACCAGCAGCATCTCTCCTCTGTTCGTGTAGGCAGGGTGCAGCAGCCGCCCCGCTCAGACGTGGTGCCTCGGCTGTAAAGCAAATTATACAAACAAAGAGTGCTCCAGACTTTTTATTTGTGAGCCAATGTGACCACGTCCCCATTTCCCGACAGTTCCCCTTCCTGCAGGGTTTCAACACTGACATCTTTTCTTGTGGGCTCTCCAAAAGCAGAAGACCACCGACCCCCCCACCCTTTTATGTGGCCATCTCACCACCAACAACACTCAATCACGGATCCGCAGACGCAGTCCTCCATCTGACCGGGGCTGAAGTAACAGGCTGCTGCTTTGGACAAACCAGGAGAAACTTTGTTCCCTGGCTTGTGCACGGTGAACTGTGACCGCAGTGCTGCTGTGTGAGGTGTTTTTTAAATTTTTTGTGTGTGTGTGCGCCGCCTCTCACTTTATTTCTACGTGGGTGAGCAGTGTGTACTTGTGTTTGTGGCACCTCCCCGCTCCTCCATAGATCTGGTTGCCCCCTTGTACCTTTCAGGCTGCACCATGCATTTCTCCTGCACCTCCTGGCTGCTATAGTTAGAGCAGGATCCCGAGGTTCCCCCCCTTCCACCCACCTCCCCCAAAGCCGACTCTCCCTCTTGCCTTGGTTTGGACTCCGGACCGCGCGTCATGCCGCGACACCTGAAGCGCACCCCGGTCCCGTTGCAGGACCGCATGGTTCCTTTGTAACTGGATCTACTTTTTTTTTTTTTGGAGGGAGAGGAGGGCATGCTCTCCTCGTCTCTGGAGAACACTTGCAAAGAGGAGAAGAAAGTAGGAAGACGAGGGTGAGCAGCAGTTGCAGACGTAGGGAGAGATCATCTTAGAGAGTGTAACTTACTTGTAGATGTTTGATCAGGCCACGACTATGGGCGATGGGAACCACCGCTGTGGACCCAATCCGCTGTGTCCGGACCGGATGGAGACAAAGTGCCGCGCCGAGATAGGGAGCCGGTCCCCGGTTCAGAGCTCCACCGACACTCCGGGGACATCAGCCTCTACCCCGACGTCCTCCAGCGAAGACGGACACGACAAACTTTTGGGAGTGGACCCTGACTACTGTCGGAGGATATTAGTAAGGGGTAAGTGAACGAATACGAACCAAACACTGATTTATTCTGTGCGTAAAACTAATCCTGAGACTGGGGATCTGTCAGTGACCTGGAATTGTGACTATTTTAACACACTGCTGTACAACACTAGTTATCCTTAGTCTTGCCCGAGAGACACTTTTAGCTAAACACACACTGTATTGACAGTCACAGCAATAACAAGAATAAAAGAACAAAAAAATGAGCTATAACATTAAAAAACGTCATATATGTCATATATAATATACTGAAAGAAGGCAGGCATTTGTCTATTTAAACCCAAAAGTGTCTAAAACTTGGACTGAACAGGACTTACATTTCTAAACAAAGTGGTCAACAATACCAAACCTCTGGTGGACTCTGGTAACAATAGCCTACTTTCAATTCCGTGATACCTAAATTATTGTTACACCAGGCCACACCTGCAAGTATTAATTCCCAAATAAAAATGATATCACAATATAAAATTAAATCGGTCTGAATAGGATTGTTTGTCCCAGGCTGTATCAGCTGTGACAACTCCCTTTTTGTTCATTATTAAGTCTATTGGTCAGATCAATAGTCAAAACAATGGCTGAACCTAGTAGATGAAATATTGGCTCATTATTTTTCTCACATATGCAGTGAATACCTTCTCCATAACACATCATCTCTGTGTGGAGGTTTAAATGAAAAACAAAAGGAAAACGTTTGAACTGTTGAGGATAATCAGGTGAAATTCACTCCTCGAGGCTGTTGAGTCTTTTATCAACAAAGGAGCAGATAGAAAACAACATAACGCAGCTCTCCATTAAACAGCTTCTATAAAGCGGTGTGTGTGTGTGTGTGTGTGTGTGTGTGTGCTGTCAGTGATTTCAGTCTTTGTGTGCCAACGTTATGTTCATGAACGTCAGAATAATATTTAATTTAATATTATTCTGGGTGTCCACACCCTCCTGCAGGAGGCCAGCTGCCTCTGAGCAAGACTGAGACTTCTTTAAAAAATCCAGATAATTAAGATGAAAATACTGAAAACATAAACTCTCTTAAAATAGAATTTTAAAAATCTGTTTTAATTTGTTTATTTATTTTTGAGTTCTGTATTATTAGGTTTAGGTGGTGTTACAGTCCCTTTTAGTAGCCCAAAACATTTGTGTTTGATTTATGTTTGCACGTTAAATTATAGAAATATAAGACATAAACCACTTTATTTGTCATTGTAGGCCTACAACTAAATGTTGTTTGCTAAGTCTCTGACCAGCAGCAGCAAAATAAATTATTTACCTAAATAAAGTTAAAGAACTATAAATAAATAAATCAATAAATAAATAAATCAATAAGCTAATAAATATGAATATGAAGAGGTAGTTTCGTTCCACTGTATATTTAAAGGATTAAAGGCTCTTGGGTGAGCAGGTACACAGTGACTAAAGTCTAACAGTGAAGTATAAACATGTATAAAATATATTGCACCAACATAATTAAAACATTAAATTGTTCAGTAAATGTGTGTTATATGTTTGCAGGGAAGGGTTCCAATAACATAAAGAATAACACATACATCTGTCTCGTTATTTGATTTTTGTAATTATTATGTCCGAACATAAATAAAGAATAAAGACTTGTATAACCTCAGTGAGGAAAAATAATAATAATAATAATTTAAAATGCATTATGTGGAATATTTGGAGTCATTGTGAAGTTTCCTACATGAGGGATTTTTGTTTAAATGCTTACCAAGAACAAAAAGTCAACACGCTTCCCTCCCATTCAGAATCTCATAAAGAAAAAGGCTCAAATTAAATTGCAACTAGTATTTTTGTGCAGGATTTTTCTTGTGTGTGTGTGTGACTGTTTGCTGAGGACAGAATCAATATGTCGGCCTATCAATTCTCGGTTATAGGCTGCGGATGTTATGGCTGCTGGTTGGTTTTCTTTCTATTGAACGTTTAGTCGCGTCTCTTCCGCACAGCAGCAGCTCTTCTAAACGGAGAACAATAAAATAAAATGTAGTAACCAGAGCGATTTTAAATAGTAAACGATGGATCCGGAGAAAGAAAAATGGCGAAAGGGAGATAAATGATATACGTGGATGCAGGTAAAAAAATATAAATACATCTAAAACAACCGGAGCGTCGATCACTTCCAGTATAAATAGAGGTCTGTAATGGTAATGTGTACGTTTAGTATTATAGATATATTGATTAATAGACTGCTTCTTTACTGCTGATCACATCCTTATGTTTTCTATGTGAGATTTGGCAGGCAGGAGTTCATATACTCTGTGTAAAAGCCTCAGAATCATCTGATAAACATGCGGTCATTACGCTGCGTTAATGGAGGAAGTGGCCTGCAGAAGGTCAGGAGGGGGTGTGAGCCGGTTTTTTTTTTTTTTTTGGTGGAGGTACTGTAGAGTTTTTACTGAGCGAGCGACGCCTGCAGTGTCAGGGTTTGTTTTTGGAGCTGAGTCTGGATGCTCGGGCTTTTCCGCAGAGAGGCCGGGGTCACCGAGAGGTCAGCAGGTCTGCGTAAAGCCGCTGGTTTCCCTCCTCTGCTCGCAAATGTTTCCATCACAGTTACTGTTGTTATTTTCTCTCTCTCTCTCTCTCTTCTTTTGGGGCCAGAAAATGTGTAAACACACTCTGCTGTATGTCTGGAGAGAAGGAGGGGGGTTTCTAGCATCTCTCTGGTGCAGACCCTCACTTGGCTGGCGACACATTACGCAAAGTCATTATGCGTGCGTAAAGATGGAGAGCTCTCAGGCTCGTTTCATTACGTAGCCCAGGCTTGTAGGCTAACCAAACAATTAAGAATAACTTCCTATAACACCGAGAATGGAATAACTGTTTAATACAGATCAGGGACTTAGGAATTTACTGGGTTTCATTAACTGTGTTAATTCCTCTGCTGTAGCAAAAACAGCCCACGGTTTTTTCTTTTACGCACTGATTCTTATTCATTTACAAATGTTTTATTTATCTCTTCTTTATCACGCTTTAAAAGTACGTTAATCCAAGGGGAGATATACCTTTTACAGCAGGTTCAATTTGCCTTTATAGCCAAAAAATAAAATAAATAATAAATAATAATAATAATTCAACTGTTTTGGTTGTTCTAGGCAGTGGCCTTTCTATAGAAACACTATAGATTACTCGGTTCAATCAGTTTTGTTTCATATTTAATTCAGGGCTCTTCATATTTTATTGGATTGCATATTTTATGACTTGAAAATCTTGGACAAAGAGGAGGTGTTGTCTGGCCTGCGCTTCCATTGAACGTGATAAATACGAACAAATATTCTCGTCTAATACACAAAGGGTTTTATACCGAGGAGAAACACGCCTGTAAAAAAACACAACATTTTTCGCTCGCAGCAAAATTAAAACAACGAATTGTGATTTATTTTTATTTTTTTAAACAGTATACACAATATCCTGAGGGCTTCTGGATCCAGGGCGGGGTGTAATGACTGACTGACTGACCCTCCCCATCCAGGATATCTCTCTAATATATTAATTAACCTTTTAATATATGTTGTTTTTATTTGTATTATATTTAAATGAGTTCTGATTTTACAACAATAAATAAAATGCAAAATAACACCAATAAGACGGACACGGCTAACCAAAGAAAATAAAAGATAAGTCCCCTATTTAATGATAGTTTGTCCCATGAACCCACACACTATGTTGTTGTTGTTGTTGTGGATAATGACGCACAGCCTTGGAGTTGAAAGTGAAGCTTTTAAATTATTCTCTAAGTAGTTTGGAGTGAATTAAATGTCACGTAGACAAGTAAAGCTATGCTCATCAGCACTTAAAAGCCCGAAATAACCAGGACAGATATTCAGTGCCTCTAGCCCCCAAACTGGGCGGAATTCCCCGTGTGCATATTTTCATCACCCTCTATTTCTGACTGAGTCTCCAATAAAGTATCCGAGATGCAATGGAGTCGATTGAATGATTTTAATTTGACTTCTAGTTCCTGGAAACACGAGACATTTTCATATTTTAGCACGCAAAAACTGACGCAGCTTGCGTGTACAGTCACGTGGACTAACATTGCGTCATTTACGCGTTTGAGTTGCGGACATTGATCTCAGTCAACAACATTTCCCACAAATATTCAAAAAAAAATTCCTAAATATGGATTACAGACCATGATGTGGGCCAATATTAAGAGCCATCACACACCCTGGGGTTGAAGCACAGTCACAGTTTAGCCCCGTTATTTATGACAACAAGGCCTTTCTTTCGTCCTCGTCTTAAAAATAACACATATGACGCTTGTTTTACTCAAAGACACACAGACGCGCATCCATCCATTTTATTCTCTCTCTAAAGCCATATTACATCAGTTTGGCACCATGGAGGCCTGTTTCACTCCAAGCCTTTAAAGAAAGGTGTGCGACTCAATAATAATACTCTCAGGTGTGAACTGCTAATAGCTGTCGTTGCATTCGCTCACAAAACGTTTGTTTGTTGTGTTTTTATTTATTTATCTATTTATTTATTTTTAAATTCTGGACAGACGCCAAAGGCACCATCCGGGAGATCGTCCTGCCGAAAGGCCTCGACCTGGACCGGCCCAAGCGCACGCGGACCTCCTTCACGGCCGAACAGCTGTATCGGCTCGAGCTCGAGTTCCAGCGGTGCCAGTACGTCGTGGGCCGCGAGCGCACCGAGCTCGCGAGGCAGCTGAATCTGTCCGAGACTCAGGTAAGAGCAGGTGTTGTCTCAAGTCATTGGGAAATGCGAATGTTTGGCGCAAATGGTGCCAATAGTCCATTTGTAGGATACATACATTATTGTGCAAGACAGCCGAGCTAGTAGCCTAGCAACCGGGCCTTAGCATGGCATTTAGCACGTTTTTATTAATTCATAAAGTAGGCCTTGTTGGTATCTATTTGTTTTATGTATTATTGTAGCCAAAGTCAGTGTTTTAGGTCATTTCGTTTTACGTTTGCCAAATATTTCAACATAATTTGGTCACATGTGCGTTTGGGGCCTTTTTAATTGGCTCCTTGGTCCAATCAGAGGAGGAAGGGTAGAAGAGCTGCCCCGCCCAAACACACTGTCCAGCTGGCTTCTTAAATGGGTATATCCGGGGCCAAATCCAGTGTGTTTGCAATCCGACACAAATTTTAATTCAGATGTAAACTCCACACACACACACACACATACACACACCCATACACACACAGACAGACAGAAAAAGCCTCCCATAATGGCCCGGGGGTGTGTGCACGCTCCAATAAAGGCCTTAAATAAGCACGAAGCCTATGGCCTTACAGGGCTATAGTATATTCGTACATTGTGTTGACTGACATTTTAAAAAACGTTACATTTCCTCCACATTCAGATACAAATAGGAGCGTATTTAAAACACAGTTCCAATGAATACAACACCACAGCCAACATCTCTCTGACTGACACAAAAATCAACATTATCTGTCTCATTTTCCATCATGGGACTGTTGGATTCAGCTGCGCACAGTATCTGAGTGTGTGTGTGTGTGTGTGTGTGTGTGTGACAGAAGGAGCACCCTTCATGCGTAATGGTTGGCGTCTGATATTGTTACATCTTGGAAAGCAGAATATCCTTTACTCATCATCACAGTTTATTTGGGTTTTAGATGAATTAAAAATAGAAATAAACGCCTCTCAGCAGCAACAATCCTCGGAACATTTTGTCTTCTGCATTTGTGTGTTTGCGTGGAAAGAAACTGGCACGTTGCTGCCCGGTACATCGGTCCCTGTCGGTTCACTCCTCTGAACACTGCAGACATTTCCTGGCCACTCGCTCACCTAAACCCCGCGCGCTTCATTCAAACCTTCCCGCAGCACCACGAGCCCAACCCCTCTGTGTTTATTATGTGCGTCACCACGTACACACGGTCTGTGTGAGGGGCCACACAACACCGCCTATTTAAATGCGTAACTGTGAATTTCTCTTTTTTAAAAAGAAGTGTGTTTGAAGGCCAACCTTTTTAATTGGTTGTTTACCTACTGAGTATAAAAAAAGGGTTGCACAATATCACGGCACAAACTATTGAAGCAAATCTTAACAAGAAATTGAATTTAGCCAACACACTCTGTTAATAGTATAATAAATAAATTGGTGCGTGCTGTAAATTCATGTGGAAAGCGTAAATCTTGTCATATTTAAAGTCCTATTTTACCCAATGTGGGTTTATGAAAGACTCTTATTCACTTACTCAATATTCAATTGTCGACAGAAACCTTGCCTACAGTTCATTAAAGCTACTATTAGAGCCATAACCTTCAAGTACAGATCGAAGTTAATATCAGAATACATGTCTTGTGTGTGCTGCATCTTCCCAGTAAAAAAAAAAAAGAGGGAAAGTCTGGAGACACCGATGATAAAAGGAGGCAGTTATGTGATAGACTGTTAAAAAAAAGTCCCCAAAACGTTGAAAATAAACCCACAAAGTCACAGAATTAAAGTAGGTACTTGAATTTTATTTTGCAACAATATGTGGAAATACACAGCAGGAAGTTTGCATCACTTCTTAAAAAACAAACAAACACTTTATTGCGGGAACTTTACGCATCACCACTGTGGCTCTACCACACTAACCTTAATATGTAACCACAGAAAACACGCACTCAAACATAGAGGTGGTGGGAAGGAAGTGTGTGTGTGTGTGGATTTGGGAACACAGAGCAGCCACTGTGTCCCTCATTAGTGCTGACACTAGGGGTGTTAATGGGAGGGCCTCAGCTTCCTGCTGCTGCTGCTGAGGAGACGCAGGGCAGCAGATGATTGGCTGAATGAAACCGTCTGAAAACTGTCCTGACCTTCAAGCGAGAACAAAATGTAAATAATAAAAGTGTCCGCAGTAATGGCGTAGAAATATTAAAACCCTTTGCTCTGAAATTTCTTAATGCTGTGCGCTATTGAAGCAGCTTTTAAGCGTGATCGAAAGGCTTTTAGTTGGCATTAGTGGAGTTTTTTCTTCTTCTCTTATTGTTACCTTCCTTTCTATTTGTGGCGTTTGCATATTTTTAAGCAAATGCGCCTTTCAAGGCTGGTCACGAAAAGGAAAGATGGAAGTTTTTAAGGTCTTTTTAAGCGAGTTGTTTGGGCTGTTTTTCTGGTTTTCAGGGGACTTACTGTGTTTGTTGATTCTTTCACAGGTCTCCAGCAACTAATTTAATTTTTATCTCCAAATTAAAGACCGCTGGGTTTAAAAGCAGCTCCATTAAAGTGTGTTCTTTCTCTATCTATCTATCTATCTATCCTAATTATTATTCTATCTATCCTATCTATCTAGTCTATCTATTCTATCTATCTATCCAACCTTTTCTCTCCTCGGAATAACTGTAATAAGGTTCGTTTTTAGATACAAAGTCGAGTTTTGGGGCTTTTTTTCGATGTTTTTTTCGAGCACAAACACCTTTTTTAAGTTTTTGGGGAAATCAGTAAAAAGTGCAATTTAAATACTTAATTGTTAACCTGGTGAAATGACGACATTTCGGTTTCAGTAAATAAGATTAAAATTCAGCTGTGTGTGTGTCTGTCAGTGGCGTTAATAAATCTGCGCATTTTAATAGAACATAGCTACTTAACACAAACTGTGGGCCTTTTTAAATGATTAATTTCGTTGCGTTAATCTCGCATTAAACACAATATTAAAAATTAAACATGGATTTTTAAGAAAATACGTTAAAGTCAACTAAATTTTACTTGTTTTGAATTAAAATCACAAACAAGATATGAACTTTATAGCAAAAAGTCTCCCAGCAACCTAAAACCCCGATTAACACGATTACTCTTAACTTTTATTATAAACTTGTGTAAACGAGACACTCATCTTCATCTGTGACTGAAACACAAATACTAATTACATTAATATGGGAGGTTGGATCGTTAAGTGTTTTTTAACAATGTTTGGGGATTTGGTCATTGACCCATGGCCTAACTCCAATTAGTTTGGTCAGGTATTCAAACTCATCACGCAATGAGGCAGCAGACATTGGAAACACACACACA